AAATCACAAAGTTCCAGGGTCAGGCGGACGCCCTACTAGATGGGTCTCGGCGTCTCTGGCTGCAGTGGGCAGAATTTCTGCAGAATGACACAGCGGAAGGGAGCARTATAATTGCGGGAAAAAAAMGCAAGAAGAAACCAATTCAACGASAACTCATCYTGTATGCCATCCTGCCTTCCTTTTTTGCTCTAACAGACAAATCGATCTGGTCCGAGGAGAATTGCGACAGCGCGTATTACTAAGCACTGTAATCAGAAGTGGTACTCATACGTGGAAGGTAGAGTGCCATCAGCAGCAGAAAGAAATTCTTCAAATGTATTGTAGCGTCCACACTCGAAGTGCCACGGGACGTTTCCTCCCATCATCTCCGTCACTGTTTCTATCAGGAGAGCCCTTGCACAACGGTCTTCTGGTGTCGATTCTCTCAAACTCCCTCTGGAAATCAGATCACTGAGGGCCTCAACGTCCCTTTCCAGGTCATGGAGTAAGCGAACAAGCTCCTCCGCAGCAACATCTATTTGAAATCCTGCCTGTCTGATGACTGGAAGAGCCACATTCTTGTCCCCCGTGACGACTGCAGGTGCCTGCACCCCACTCGGGACTGCCATGACACGGCTACCACCATGCCTTGCCTTCTTGMAGGAGGAGGTTGATTGAGACCGTGGTTTTGAATCTGTGACCGACCCACTGTTGCGCACTCCTCCWGATGGATGAGAAGTGTACGTTGAAGCCCATCCAAGTGGACGTCGAGTAGCTTCTCTGAACTTCTTAGTGCTCTCGTCGGCAAACTTTTGCAGTTCCAATCGCCGATTCTCCGCTGCGGCTCTGTCGAACTCGAGCTTGRCAGCCTCTAGAGCAGAGCGCTCTCTGGAGAAGATAGAAAAAATGTCGTTGATAAGATAAATATGGAGAGATCCTACCTCACATAAGTGCAGCGAGTATCTTTCCGCCATCAATCTGTCCATTGCCTTCATCAAGCGGTGCTTGTCTAGGCCTCTGTTCTGCTTACCAGCTAATGCAGAAGCCTTCATRCCAAGTGAAAATGTGATCATCGGCATGATTCCCACATTKACTCTACGGACATGACTTCGGATGAGGTCCCAAACTTGAGTTGCTGTTGCTGTGGAATCTAATATGCAGGCACTCTCGCTTTGCTCATGAAYGTCACCGAGTGCTACTTGGCAACTTGAAGGTGCGTTGCGTCTTGGAGGCAAACCTGACTTCAGAATCTTCCCATTATCCTTGGGAGAGGGAGACTCAGCTTTAGTGGCGGTATCTCCCCCAGCTGTCAGTGGCTGCTGCTCGTCCTCGGTGCGAGAAGGACTCAAGGTACTAGTTCCTCTAGCTGGCCGTCGAAGTTCTTGACTGTTGGTCAGACA